GATGGGGGCGAGCGTGGAGAGCTGCGCGGGGTGCGTTCCGCTTGCTCGCAGGCGGAGCAGCCCAGCCTGAGGAGAAGGGGATGGGCCCTGGCAGAGCAGCCTAATTGCCATCCCTGCATCAGCAGCCTCTTGGAAGCATCCTGGGAATTGCTCGCCCTATGCTCCGAGCAGCTGATCACATGAGCCTGAATTTTCAGTTCAGTTCATTAGTCAGCCATTTTGGTCAACACCCTGCTTACTGCGCACAACCAATCCTATCAGCACTCGCTGTCCTGGCTTAGCTGGGAAGAAAGGGACCTGCACTCGGTTTCAGCAAGCCTGGAGACCTGCTCCTACAGTCTTCCTTTGTTTTGGCTTGGGCAATCATCAGAGGAAGCCATTCTTTTTCCTTCTGCTGCTTTTTTTTTTCTCCTTTTTATATTTTTTTACCTTTTCCTCCTGTCTTTGATGCAGAAGCCAGGTTTTTTGTGGTTGCTTAGGATCAATAGCCTCTAGCATAGCTGAAGAGGACGGCAGCTGGTGGAAAGGAGGGAGGAAGAGACAAGCGTGAAGGAGCAGCATTTTTACCTTGCTTTATCTATGAAAAGGCCAGAGCGGTCTGTGCCATCCTGAGCATATCTGCCCTTTAATAGCAAGGTATTTCTTATTTTCTTCTTCAGAAACCTTTTCTTCTTTAGTTCTTATTTTTCCCCCCCGCGTTGTTGTTATACCAGCTGAGTCATCATGTCTGCTCTGACGCCTCAAAGCGACATGCCAACCCCCACCACAGACAAGATCACTCAGGCTGCCATGGAGACCATCTATCTTTGCAAATTCCGAGTATCGATGGATGGAGAGTGGCTCTGCTTGCGCGAGCTGGACGACATCTCGCTGACGCCCGACCCGGAGCCGACCCACGAAGGTACGGTCGGGTTCCCTGCCTCGGCATCCCCGCAGCCACCGCCTTGGCACAGCCTCTGCACGGGCTGGGAGGGGGTGTCTTGGGACCAGGTGCTCCTGTCCTGCCTGGAGAACCTGGACAGCACTTGGTGTAGCCGAACGCCAAATAGGCCCTTGGATTTTGTTGTGTCTTTTGTAATCCACCCCTTTAAGCAAGACAGATTTGTGCCAAATTGTTATTTTTAAATATGTGCCTGGCAAGATCAGGTTTGTGTGTCTCTGGAAAGAAGGTGACCACGAAGTGTGCTCAGTGATACATTTAATGACGATTTTACTCTGAAACAGGGCTTATTGCTCCCTTAGCTCTCAGCTATTACAAATGGAGCAGGCTGGGCAAACACAGCTGTGTGCCCACATGGTCATTGGGTAGTTTTTGGAAAGCCCCTAGTGATTACGCAGTTATGCTCACTGTCAGGTGATGATACCATCACAAGCCTTCCAGCTTGCTTCTGGGCAGCATGCTGTTATTTATAATGGTGTGGAAGCCCAAAAAGTGCATGTATCCTGCTTTCTTCTTGAAAAAAAGATTTGTGGTTTGGGTTAATGATGAAAACAGCTTAATACCAGGTAACGTGAAACGAGGCTTGAAAGCTTTGTGAGTACCAAAACAGTGAAACATCCACACGTTGCCCTAACAATAAAACAAGTGAGGAAGAAGGAGAGAAGATGCACCTCTGGAGGATTTCTGCACAACAGCCAGTGCTCCCATGGTCACCAGCGTTGCCATGTTCTGAGTGCTCTTTGCTGGTGCTGAGCACCTTTTGGTCTTAGAGTGATGGGGCTCTATCTTTGGGTGCCTGAGCCTTTTCCAGTGACTCCTGGAGTGCAGCTCCACCAAGCAGGCTCGCTTGACCCGTTTGATGCTGGCTTGTCTTACTGCATTGTTGTCTTGCTGGATGAAGCAACTTCAGTTGTCATGAGGATCTGTTAATTTAACAGCTGCATTCAGTGGTAGCAGCCCTTGGGTTTGGGTTTACTTGCCAAATACTGAGTCACACAGTGGGATAGCAGACAGAGGTTTCAAAAGCAGAGACTGATGCTCCCTGTGAAGCATGTCCCAGGGTTCCAGGGAGGTGCTGCAGGCTCAGGACAGCGGGACCAGAGTAGCAAGTATAGGTTGAGCCAAGGGTGCAGTAATTTAGGTGACTTCCAATTCCCATGTTCCAGGATATGTGGCAAAGGCTCATTCAGATTTTGCATGGTCTTACTCATCTCTTCTTGGACTTGAGTGGTTTGGGGTTTTTAACACTACATTCTAGTGTAGGTGAATTGATTTCTAGAGGTACTGTTTTTCTCTCATAAATAGTAGCTATCCTTTTGACTTGTCATATTGTGAGTAAATGACCTCCGAGCAATCGAGGGCTCTTTTCATGGTACACCCTCAAAAACCTTTCAGTCCCACTGTAAGTCCGTTAGATCCTCATTTTTGTGCATGTCTTTCCTCTCTGCTACGTAGCTCTGAGTAAGCTCATGGGGAAGGTAGACTTGGATGAGTCCAGTGTCTGTAACAGAGCTTTTCTGTGCTGCTTTGCTGAAACAGGCTGAATATGTGTCCTTATGTTGTGCGGATTTACATAGACAGGCGAGAGTGCAGAATTCAAACAGTAATACTAGACTCACCCTTCCCCAAACCCAGGAAAATAACTGGTTTTAAAGCTGTAATTACAGTCACTCTCTTGCAAATACCGTAAAGGGTTAGAAATTAGTATTACCTTATTTAATTGCCATATCATTTAATATTTATGTCAAAAATTAATGGAAAGAGAAACCTGTATCATAATGACTTTCTGGAGATGTTTAGACATTCATAAATTAAGGTTTCCTGTTGAGAGGCAGAAAGACTGGTTGTTTTGGGGAGGAGTTTTTGTACCCAAGTTGTGTTTTTTAACAGGGAGATAAGATCAGGAAAGTGTTCATAATAGAAAAGCTGACATGGCTTTATCCCTAGTGTTCTACTTGGTGCTACTGCATCAGCACTGCTGCTGTGTCCTCGGTGTGTGAAGGCCTTGGGGGGACAGGGCTTGCAGGCACCAGGGGCTTGTCTGGCAGGAAAAGCAGGAGACCTTGAAGCTTGAGTCTCGTGTGTCTTGTAATGTCTCCATAAAAATGATGAGGAAAGGTAGGGATTCTGAAAAGAAAGTTTTTTTTTTTTTTAAAAAAAAAAAAAAAGGCTCTAGAGTTCTGCTGAAGGTATAACAAAAGGTTGCTTTTTTTTTTCCTTGCAAATCAGGATATGTCAAACCCAGTATATTGCAGTAGCAAATCCAGCAGCTTGCTGATGTAAGGATTGGAAGCCTCCAGCTGCTGGCCACAGGCTCTTCCTGCATCCTGAGAAAGTTTTTCCTCTGGCCTCTCTATGCCCTGTGATCTTCTATGCCCCAGCCCACAAGCAGCCATCCTGCCTTCCTCCTCCTCACTGTGCACCCATCGCATTGAGGAAGACCAGAAACTGTGCTCCTGGCCTTGGTCGTAGGTGTCTGCACCATCCTTGCATCCCCAAACTTCCAGCCAGCCCTCGAGGTCATAGCCAGAAGAGGAAGAACGGTTCTGGGCAGTGAGGAAGTGAGCAGACAGAGGGATGCAGGCAGCATGGGGTAGGCTTCAAATGCCAGGGGAAAATACCATTCTAGCCTCAGGAATTTTGCCTGCCATACTGTCCTGCTCTCATGTAACACCCTGTGATGATTCTCTTGTTAAATTATTTTGGAGCCTGGCAGTCCCTCCACCTCTGAGTTCCCAGCTTTTACAGCTTTCTTCTCTCACAGGCCTTACACCTTCAAGCTTTTATTCATACTTTTCTTCTTGTAGCTATACCAAAGGTAGGGCAAAAAAAGTAAAATACCTGAGAAAACAGAATTGTGCTAAACAAGAAGCCATGGTGGTTTTTTTTCTTCTTTCCAATGGAAGTAGTTTGTTAATAGAGATTTTTTTATGTATTATTTCTCCTTCTTGTTGATCTTTCAAGAATGAGTTCAAACATACTGGAGGAGGATGAAGCGATTCTTACCTGACCTGGTTTGACATCCCTCACCAGAACACTGTGTTTTAATTCCAGTGAGAGTGGCAGCAGAAGAAGAGTTTTAATGGCGACGGCTCTTAGAACTGGGATGTTAGGGGGAGGCAGGGGCACTGCTGGGCTTTCAGGCTGGGCTCCCCAAGTAAAGAGGCATAAGTTGCAGCTGCTGCTTGTTCTTTCTGAGGCTGGACCTGTTGGTAGCCCTTTCTGGAGCCTGTTTGCCACAGCCTTCTCTGGAACTATCCTGCTTCAGGCAAATTTTGTGATCGGAGCTGGAGGAAGAGAGGAGGAGCTGGTCATGTAAGGGCATAGTGGCCATCACAGTGGCATGCTCATTAGGTTTCTAGTAAAACCAGTCCAATTCTGCTACTTTTTAAGCCAAAACCAGTATGCTTTGGGAAGCAGATCATGCTCTGAGATGAAACAGTGTAAATTTGGAGTAATTCCATTCCTGCCACCAAGCTGGAGTTTTGGAGCATAACTGAGTGAAACTTAGTTTTTCATTCCATTTAAAAGCAGCGTGTAGTAGAAGGGTCAAAGCATTAGTGTAATTACTGAGTTCCATATAGCATATAACATGCATGCTCCCTGTAACAATAAAAGCAATTCTCTTAAACTGTTTGGAACAATTCTGTGTTCATGAAAAGAAGCTGATATTGCTGTATACTGTAGAGAGCATGTATACATGTTAGAGCAATGGAAATGTTAATCCTCGTGGGATCATGTTGTTGTTGAGAACTGAAGAAAGACATGGTAACTGTATAATCTGAATTTGCTTACAACTGTCCAGAATTACAGTACAGAATTTTAAAAAAAATTCTGTTTTATTTGCAATAAAATGGGGAACTGGACCAGTATGCTTATAATATGCAAAGATGGAATTATCTTTTCTATAGTATAATTTTTGATAGCTAAGGTCAGATTTTCTTCTTTTTTATCCAGTAATTTGAAAGTTCATGTTTCAGATGCATGTTTGTGTAAAATGCCATATGAGCAGCAGTGGTACAGCTCTTCAGAAAATACAAATGTTCTTCTCAATGTTCAAATACCTCTTGCCTGTTCACGTCTTGCACTGTTTATTGAATCATCCTCCAGATTCTACCTTTTCTCTCAATTTTCTGTTCAAGTGTTTTTCCACGTTTATTGGCACACTTCAAAACTATTTAAGGAAGCATCATGACCTTAATTAGTTCTATCTTTGTTTTGCAAATTGGCAGCCTTCTTGGCCCTGAAGTTTCACAGAGGGGGTGAGAACCTCCATATTTTGGTGGGGGGGGAGGGAACTACAGAACTGTTCAGTCATGAGAAAACCCTGTGACACGAGGGCTTATCTGTTGTGCTGGGCTGTGCTACTGGGGAAACTGAGGTCCTGCTCTAAAGCCTTTTTGGTCTGCTGAGAACAAAGCACACCCTGGAAGAAACCCTGGGAGCTGTGACCTTGACCTCCACACAGTTGCAATGTACAGAAATGCCTGCTGGTAATCACGTGGGGAGAGGAATAAAGCTTTGGGTGGCATCATGCCCTTACATTTGCTTTTTACTTCTCTCATACATGTAGTGCCTGGAATTCCCAACTCCTCTGTACTTGTTCTTTATTCCTGTTTATCTCCCAGTTTGTTGTAGGTGTGTCACTGCTCATTCTTTTGGCACAACTCTCAACTTACACCTAAATGTTGCTAGGAAAAATGGTCATATCAGTCTGTGACCCTGATGCTGCCAAATGAGTGGCTTTTAAAAAACTTGTAATGTTTTTTCATGAAAAATATTGCAGTTAGTTGTCACAATTTGTAGTGAAAGCCCAAGCTGTTGGTGCTGTAGTTTGAGGTGAAGCAGCTGTGGGGAGTAGGATGCTGGATAAGGACGTGTTCACTGAGAGGACAAAGAAGGTGGGTGTGGGATGATGGTGCAGGGGTTGAGTTGCTGTGAATGGTGTGGTCAGAGGAAACAGCTGAAATGGAATATTCTCTGTGGGGAGCAGAGAGCAGCAAGGTCAGCAGAGTACAGCTGGAGGAGAGTGGGGGCTCCTTGAGGTGGTGGTGGTGGTACCAGAGCGCTCCTACTTCTTCTCCTTCTCCTGCTGGAACTCTTTGCTGCTCCCTTTCCTTTGTCAGTGTTTCACGAGCCACCTGATTGGCACGTCTAAGCTGAAAAAATTCATTGCATACATCTAGTAATATTAACAGCATCTACTTAGTTTTCTTCCTGGACCACTTTATTACTTATTAAATATATCATTTATCATTCCTAAGGCAACAAATATGCAATAATGCAATTGAAATAAATACAACTGACTATTGGTTTCAGTTTCATTATAAAAGTAGCATTTGTATGTACAATGAAGGAGAATGTGCTAGCCTTAATGAAAAAAAAATTGTGAATACAATTTGTCACAAATATTCAGTATTTCTCAGTAAGCTATTCCAACTTTCCCTGGTGTTGTGGCCCAAAAAGAACAGCAAGTGGCACGAGCAGTAGACAAAAAGTTAAAATCAGAAAAATAATCACATAACTAACATTCTAAAGAGCACATGGCAACACTTCTTCCATTAGCATCACTTTCTAGAATATGGGAAAAAATTAAAGAGTCTTGGAGTGAATTGAATATTGGGGTTTAGGTAAAAGCAAGATGTTGAGTAAAAAAAGGGGGATGAGGAGAAAGCCATCCTTGTTGCTTTGTCATTTTTGTTTATGGTTTGGTTTGGTTCACTGGATCATCACCCTGATTCCTCCGTTTTTTTCAGCCCTAACTTGTCAGCACTTCTGTAGGTCTTAATTTAAATGTATTGATTGTTTTTAACTCATCTCTCAGAACTTTTCTTAGTGGTGGCAGCTGAGCAGGTAGGAGCTGAGGGATTTAACACTAGTGCGTGGACTGACTGTGAGAGACTAAACCATGAAGTGCCTGTCTCCTGACTGCTGTCTCGTCTTTCCTGGTGTTGGCCTTCAGCTGCTGGTGTGTTCAGTATGTATCTCACTGCTGTTGTGGGCAAGCTTAAGTAACCTTTTTCCTTATCAATAAACAGAACATGGGGACCCTGGACTTATGCATATTTTTATAACTCTTCCACAGAGTTAATGTTTGCTGTAAGCACCTGTATAAAAACTAACAGATTTGGGTCAAGCCTTTCGTAGAAGCTGAAGCAGCATAACTGACCTTTCACCATTGCGGAGGACTTCCAGTGCCAGGCTCAGTTTTCACTTCTATAAATTGGTGCTGGTGTTTTTTTTCTGGTTATTTTACAGACCTCTCAGCTTCTCCTTCTGTGTTCAAGAACTTCTGTGCTTAAAAAAAAAAAAAAATAATTAAGAAACCCTGACCTATTTAGTCTGTCTTTGGAGGAACTTGATTTTCATATAACTATAAATTTCACATAAACTATGTGGATCCGTGGCTTTGTTTGAAGCAACTTTTTTAACACATGGAAAAAAGTGCTATAGCTATAAAGGAGTTTGGAGCATAGGAAAATAATGAAGCACTCTTTCTGTCTAATAGCAGCATGAAATAAGTTTTAAGCTGATACCTTCTCCCAGTGTTTAGTTTTAAAAGCTTTTAGTTAACATGGGCAAGCATATCCACTGGCAATAGCCCTTATTCCTGCACGAGTTGTCCAAATTCCAATCTAATTGTTAGTTGTTGTGTTTGTCTGAGAAATACTAACCCAAAAACTCAGATATGAGCAAATTCAGGAAGATAAAGTTAGGAGGGAAAGTTTTTGTATGTGTTCTTGCTGTATTCAATAATTCCTTATTAATTAATCGCCACCTCTTTAAGCATTCTTCTTAGTGCTAAAGAGGGTAAATCAGCCCGACCTGAATCCCAGGCTGCTGCTGGACTGTCTCTTGTGGTCAGACCAGCTGAGGATACTGCTGCTATGTCAGCGAAGCAGGGGAGAGGAACTTCAGAAAACTTTATTGGTAAATTAATGGATGGGATTTCATGATGAATACATTAGTGATAAGTACTCCAGTTCTTTGTAAGGAACTTGCTTGTGTATTTATGCTGGTGGGATATTCAGCTCCATAACACTAATCTTTCTGTGAATCTAGGTGGAATGAGGTAATTCTTTTATGAAGACTTAAAAGTCTTGGTCATCCTGTTTTCTAAATTTGGTACATGTCAATTACAGACTTTAATATTATTTTTTCCATAAAAGTGTAGCATGTGGGGGAAGCTGGTGGCAGGGGAAGCATCACCAGGGTTTTTTCCTTGCAATAGCAGCGAATTTCTCCATGTTGCTCCTAGCAAGCAAAGGTACCTGATTGTGCTTATTGTCCCTCCCTCCCTCTTCATTCTGGCAAGCAGAGGAGAAATCCCTCCTGAATCGAAAGCAGTTGATCCCTTCAACCTGGGTACGTGGGCAGGGCCTCAGGGAAAGGTGTTCCTCTGCTCTTCTCAGCGCTGCAGTAGTGCTTGGTTGTGGGGAGAGGCGTGCACTTCTGGTTCATGAAGAAAACTGATCCCTGTAAGTCAGCAGTGTGGATAAAACAGTCTCAAAGGATGAGGAGACTGTAGGCCAGTGGTATTGCAGCACTTTTGGGGGTCAGTGGAATTGACAGTTGTGCTGGTATTTAGACTATTTTATGATTTTTTTCTTTCAATGCAGTGCCCATGAACATGCCGTGTGCCGGGCAGCACGGGCTCCTCCAGCTGGAGGAGGCTGGCGATAGCCTCTCTGTGGGAGGGAGGAGGTCCCGGTAGTGCGTGTCCTTGGCGCAGGACTTTGGCCCAGTTGGACCATAGAGGAGGACAGAGCCTTTATTGTGCTGTGGATCTTCCACCGATCGCATATTAGCGCTGGAGAGAGTGGGCATGTAAGTAGGCAGCTGGAGATCCTGCAGGGTTCAGACCCTGTGGGGCTTCGTCTGGCTCTGTTTTCTGGGTTTGAAACCAGGGAATGAGTGGGCAAGCTGAAACAAGTTTTCCTTGTCCTGCCTGCTCCTCTCCCAGGATACCTGCCTCCTCCCCGTGCCTATCAGCCATTTGCAGGCTCCTGCCAAGGGGCTAGAGGTGTTTTCTGGATTGAAGCCTTAGTAAATCATCATCAGAGTGATGACACAAAACCTGTGACCTGTGTCCAGGCTCAGCTGGAGCCCCCCTGCAAGGTTTTTCGTGTGGATGACAGAATTAAAGCTCTTTCTAAACTTATTTAAAGCATCCTCAGTATTGTCCTTTCCCTGAGATGTGCTTGCTGTTTGTGTGTGGCTGTATTTCCCTGTTGGGGGGTTCTTTTGGGGGCTGGGTAAGAGGAAATAGAAGCAAATGCTGACGCTGCATAAATATCAGAAGCTTAGTGCTTTGATCTCACAAACAAAATAATATTTTTCTTGCTTTTCTTTTTAGGAGGTGCTTTATAAAACTGTTGCTTGTCCTAATGCAGAAAGAACCAAAGCATCTTAAGCTTTACTGCAGCCTACCTTAATTTGACTCTCAAAGAAAAAGCCGCTTTGCTGTATAGCTTTGTGCAGACTAATAAACCCTTTTGACTTGCAGATCTCTTGCCACTATGAATTAAGTCTTGTATTATGCAAGTCTCCCTTTCAGTTACCCTTTTCTTATACCTTGATTTTTAATCTCTCCTTTAGATCACGGCTTGCATGACATTTTCTTTCTTTTCCTTTCTTTTTGCTGTTTGCAAAGACTCTTGGGAGGATTTGACAGATGTGGTGGAGCAATTGCGTGATGATATTGAAGGTGCGTGCCACACCAACATCTTTCAGCTCTTATTTTCAGTAATGATTGGCTTTTGCCTTTTTATTTTAAGCCAGAGTGCAAAATACTGTTTTCCTTGCCTGTGCCAATAGCCGTGGCTTTCTGAATGTGCTTGGCTGGTTCAACGTGTCCACAGGCAGAACATGCTGTACCAGTTGCTGCTGTTAAGGTGTTGAAGAAAATGCCTTTGATCACTGAAGTGTGTGTATTGCTCGTGCAATTGTAGTAATTAACATTTACAACAGATTTTGTGCAGGCTTTCCTCTAAATTTCACCAGCACCTTCATGGGTTCCAAGTGGTCAGTTTTGGTTTCTAAATTTTTATTGATGTCCTCTTTTCAAAATAGATGTGGATACTGTTGCTTAAAAAATATTTAAAAAAATTTGGGGTATTTTGTCTTCACGTGGAGGTAGAAAAAGTGAATCAACAATGGGCTAGCTTATATAGAAAGCTTTCTGAGGCAGTTATTTTCCTGAACCTGGTACAAGCACATCTGAAAGGGCTGCAGCATTACATGGAAGCTAAATAAAAGAAAATACTTCAGAAATCACCTTGAAGCTTCAGATTTTCTGACGTATTTCTACTTATCAACTTGAGACTTTGCAAAAGTGATTCTGTTATGACATTATGAGCAACACCATGAAGGATACATCTGTCACGTTATAATATGTAGTTGTGATTATTGCTAGGATAACAATTGATAGTTAAGGATGGCAAAGTAGTGCAGCTAGGGTTGGGGCTCGCTTGGGAAAAAACTGCCAGTGCAAATAACTTTTAAGCATGTTTCTGGCAGAAGAAAAAAGCCAAATCACCCATGACGTAGCAAAATTTATGTTGACTTATTGGGAAATTGAGATGGTATAAACGTTTTTAAAGAGGGTGTGCTGCGCACAACTAGTTTTGCTGCCTTGATCCCAACCGATCTCTTACTGGTCATCTTCTGTGAATGGTGCCTTCCTTAACTGCGACTGTGCTTGGTTACATGCCTGGGGTTCTGTGTGGTGTCCTGGAGCACAGAGCAGCCTTCTCATCACCCCAGGAGATATGCTCCTGTTCTGCTTCCTGCGCAGTCCCAGCCTGAGGTGTAGCCGAGGGAGCCTGTAAGGCCAAAGAAAGGGTTTGAGTATTCTTTTGCCATGAAACATTGTACAGATTTTTTTGTTGTTTATTTTGTTGAGTTGTGGTACATGTGAAATATATGTCTCATCTGTTTGCATTTGTATCTTTGTTTACCATGGCCACCACCTCGTTCTGGTTTTTGAAACTCACACTGCTGTGTGTGCAGGAAGCTGTCGTTCTCTGTGACTGATCAGAGATGGATGGATGTTTGGAGTGGACTGTACTTTGCCCTACAGAAATCACCAATAAGGACATACTGACAAAAACAAATTAACCTTTTAAACTCTGAAAATGTTTCTTCATTTAGGAAATCCAGTATCCTTTTCATACAGTGGCATTAGTCCAGCTACTTTATGGCTTATCCACAGCCCTGCAGAGTAGACAGGTTGAATGTTGACTATAGAGACAAAAAAAATAGCAGAATAAAACATGTTTCTGTAGAAACAGACATGCTCCTGCTTCTCACTTGTGAATAGTCATTTTTATTTTCATGGCTTCTTACTGTTAGGAGAGCATTTGCCTGACATGCAGAGTGTGTCACCTCATCCTAGGCAGGCGCTTGCATTGCCGGAAGGCGGGTGAGACGTGTGGATGGATGGAAGGTGATGTCAGACAGTAGAAGCACCTTTAAAAAATACCTTATGACCTTGAACTCCAGTTTAAAGGATGAAAGCCCTTAATTCTTCTAAGGATTTGCTTTCCACGTTGACTTGAAATGATACATGTGTTCGTGATTTCGTAGTCCAGGGAGCTGGAACTCATGTCTTCCCTAATGTGGATTTGCTTATCGGAAACTCGGCATGCTGTAGGTAGCTGGCTGGCTACCATTGTAGCCAGTGTTCCACCATTAATGGATCTTAGTTAATCAGAATACAGGGCACATAAACAGCCTTTCTAAATTTCTGATGGCTCTAAGTTTGTATTCTTGGTTTAAGATGGATTCAGTATGTGGAGAACCCACTGAAATGCTCATTAATTGGCATTTCTTTGTGCAGGTTTGTTCATGCCTATAGCATTTCATGAATCCTTGCGTTTGATCCAATTTCCAGCTTTATTTTAGTTTCTTCTTAATTCTTTTAGGGTAATTTAATATGAGGAGTGATAAAATTGATTGTCACCAGGTAAGAAGTACTTAGACCACAGTCACAGCTTAATCTTCTGAGATCTTATAATACATTGACTTTTCCCTTGGCTTTAGGTTCCTATGTGCATATTCTACCTTTTACACATATGACAAGATTCCTGAATGCTTTAAAAAAACTTCTTTATGGAGCCTACTTAGGAACTCTTTGCTTTCGTGCTGTTACTGTGTGAATGATTGTGGCACAGTTTTACCTCCTTAGAAACCTTGGAGTTCAATGGTTTAAGGAAAGATAAGCTGATGATTTACTGAACGACTTATATCCCATGTACAAGGCTGCTGGTTAGAGAAAACATCTGTTTTGGAGAAGCCACAGTATTTAAATAGCAAATTATCTTGAGAATTTAAGATAACTTCAGCTGAAATCCAAACTACATTGAAAGGCAAAGATTAAGAGCAATGAGTTTACTCTTTAAGGTTTACAACTTGGCATTTATAGTAAAACAAAGGTAGAGTTTATTGTTAGAGGCAGAAGGAGACAATTAAGGAAGATACTGACTCAAGCTGAGAATCTCAGTTGCACATCAGGGTCAGGCTTGTCAAAGCAGAAAATGTCTGGCTTGACTTCAGGCCAGCCCAGTTAATTGTCTGTCTTGGTCAGCAGCGTGAATGTACTGCAGATAGAGTTGTGCTACAAGGAGTATTGAGGGAGTGGATTGGTAACCTTGGTATGAGCAGATTTTCAGTCGTGGTACCACAGCAAAGCACAGCGTAGTGACAGTAGCTTTCTGTGGTAGAAGCAGATGCTCTAGTGATGTTCAGATGTTCAGCTTACATGAACATCATATGTGTGATGTTTATGGTGTTCAGCTCTTTATGGGTACCAGGCTGCTGTGCTTTTCAACCTGCAGGAGATACTGAAACTTGGAAGTGGGGATAATGTGCACTTTTTTTTTTTTTCATGATTCTGTGGTTCTGTCAAGTTTTCTCCTTGCTCTCTTTTTGGCTGGTGGGTGCTGACAAGGTGCCTCATTGTGGTGGCAGAACATTTGAGGTGACAAGCAGTTTGTGTTGGAGCAATGACTTGTCAGTACCAGCATCATGATGAAGCAGGATGATGACTTGCATCATGAGGACAAATCCTGCAGGAGACTGCAGTAGTCTCAGAAGAATATACCACTTGGCCTCGTTTGGCAAAGTTGTTGAGTTTTAAATTGCAAAAAATGGTTCTTCATGGTTGTATTGACAAGAGGATGAGAACTGTTAGAATCCAAACAGCTCAAATCTACCTGTCTAGTAGAGATTTGATGTTTACTCAGTAGCGAACCTGCTGAATGTAACCCCAAACTTCTGCCAGACTTCACTTGGGGACTGGAGCCCCTAGGGATGAGGGTTGCATGTTCACCACGAGAAGAGATGTTTTAAGGAGAGATGTAGGAACCTATCTCAGCTGTCTGGCTGTTGAAGAGATGGAGCCTCTGAACAGAGCTTGAGGGTACCCTGAGGGTGGTGAGCGCTGCTGGGTGGGTCTGGGTGATGGTACTCCACAGAGCCAGAAGGAACAGCCATTTTTCCACAGCTTAGACTGCTAGATATTTTTATGGCTTCTTTCATCAGACTTAGCTACATGCTCTCCTGCATTTTAAATAGAAACATATCTGCTTGTTCTAGTGGAAGGTTTTCAGTCTCCAATGTGTTGTAGCAGGCACAGCCCGCCCTAGATAGGGGCCGGCGGTCGGAAGATGTGGCAAGGTAACGGAAAGCTCAGGCCGCCCACGAGGGGCGCTGTGGGCGGGGCTAAACATATATAAGCAACCGCAGCGACGCAATAGACGCCATTTGCTGCATCCTCCACACTGGAGTGAGTGACTCGATGGCCCTCAACGGCAGAGGCTGAGTTGCCGTGATCCCGGGTCTGAGTGTTGGCGACAACACCAACGTTTATTTGCTTTACTTGTTTGCTAAATGCAAGCGTGCTTTGTCAGTATTGCAGATAAAATATGTGCCCCACGCTTAGACAGGTAGCCTTACGTGTCTTCTGGCCTTGCTTTTGCTGCCAGCTGTAGTAAACTCACTTGTGAAGGTGGCAAATTGTGTCAGAGGTCCTTGGGTGCTTATGGTAGCCCTAGAAGAAATGTGCCTTACCAGGGATGAAACTGCTTGTGCCAGAGAACTTCAGCTCAAAAGTTAGATGTGAGATAGCAGGCAGAATAGGTACAAACAGAAAAACAGCAACTGACGATGCAGCATCATTTCAGTAGCTGGAATTTCTCTGTCTTGCTGGGCATCTCCATGCCTAAAGCTTAAGCACGCTTTGTTGTGTTTGTAGGACAATTTCACTCTACTTATGAGACACCAATATGTTAAATAAGTTTGTTTCTTGAAGTGGTGGAAACGTGCTGAGGGTGTTTGGGAAGAGAGGCACTCTGTGAAAGGGTCGGTGTTGGCATGGACACATTGCACAGGTCAGGGAGCAGAAGGCCTGCAGGCAGGGCTTCCATTGGGAAAAGGGTGTCTGTGTTGGCTTCCTGCAACTAAAAGCCAACTACCAAGTGTAAAGGTCTGAATATTTATGATATGCTAGGAGAAGAGGATAGTCTTGTTGGGGCTTAGAGCGAGCTGCCAGAGGAGGCATGAACATCAGCTCTTTACTGTCAGTGGGTGGTAAACACCAGTAGTGTTGATAAAATGGAGAGAGAGAGTAGAAATTGGCTCAATATTATATCCAAGTTGGAAAAAAAATCATGAGAAGGGAAGAGGAAGAGGGGGACATGGCTGGTTTCAGTGTGAGTGGTTATCTTTAGATGGAAGAGGAAGTCACAGGTGGGGAACTCCTACGGTTTTGTAGTTGCTGGGGATTGGAGTTGGAGCAAGTGGTGGCTGTAATTCAGTAACATGCTGTCACATGTGAAGCATAATCATTAACAGCCATCTTCAAACTTCTTTCTGGAAAATATGAAGGTTTTGTGCTTAATGAAGTACTGAGGCACCCTTAATGTGATGTGTTGCCTATTCCTATGCCTTTGTGTCTTCAGCCATAAAGTACTGGTTAATTTTGATTTTTCTTGATCAAAGGCCCGAATCTGTGCCTCAAATGAAACTGTCCCTGCCCCGAAATGGCTTCAAAGCTCATGATCAAAGAGACACCAAAAGACAAGGGCTATTTTGTTGGCTTTATAAATGGCTTTTGTTACTCAACAGTCTTTTTCTTCCTTTTTTTAATAGATCCTAATTATCTCATGGCTAATGAACGCATGAACCTGATGAACATGGCGAAACTGAGCATCAAGGGGTTGATTGAATCGGCGCTTAACCTGGGCAGGACACTGGACTCTGACTACGCTCCTCTTCAGCAGTTCTTTGTTGTGATGGAACATTGCCTTAAACACGGCTTGAAAGGTAACCTTGCTCATAAGGAGTCCTCGTGAGCTGCTTATTGTGGTGTAGGAGCCAGAAAGAGCAATCTTGTTCTAAAAATCCACTTCTTGTCATATGCAGCAGACTCCTTTTTTTTTTTTTTTTTCTTTCTGTGTTTCCTCACGCTTTGAGGGCTCAACAGTTTTTTTGCTGGAAGAAGAACTGCAACGAAGAGGTCCTTTCTCAGTAGTTCTAGCAAAACTCAGGATTTTGGCTTTGTGCAGTTAATGTCTTGTAAGCTGCTTTCTAAAATAGCAAGCAGAGCCTATACTTAACTGTAACAGTTGGACCTGATGATCTTAAAGGTGTCTTCCAACCAAAATGGTTCTAGGATTCTATATAATATGGTTCTGCTGCCTTATTGGAACGATACCCGTAATTGCCACACTAGGATCTAAAAAGTCATCATCTGTACTTGCACTGCAGCAGTGCCAGGAGAATCTTACAGCTTTTGTCTACTATTCTTTCACTTCCTACCACATTGGAGAATGTGTTTAGTCAGCATGAGCCTAATGGACTCTTTTTATGTCTTTTTTTTCTAGCCAAAAAGACTTTTCTTGGGCAAAACAAGTCATTTTGGGGACCGCTAGAACTGGTAGAAAAACTTGTTCCTGAGGCTGCAGAGATTACAGCAAGTGTTAAAGATCTCCCAGGGCTGAAGTAAGTACAGTCTTTCACTGCACAAGTACATAATGTGTTGTTTTATTGTCAGAAGGATCCTGCCAAAGAGAAGGAAGGGCAGGAATACATCCTCCACCTTCTGCTGATAAAAATGGATTGTTTCTCTCTTACTTTTAGTCAAGAATCTATGGAAGGAGAGGATAGGATGTATGCTTTCTGTGTTAAGAGCAGGGGACAATAGTGCACTTAGTGCTCGCACCAAACGAGTGAGTACGTGTCTCAGGGGTGGGAGCAGCCTTTACTGACTCTGCTTCTCAAGTCGGACTGAAGAGGAAGAGAATTGGAAGGAAAATGATTACAGGTTTAATGATTTTGAGGTTGACAGAGTTGACTTCTCTTTTACATAAGTTCAGGTAGACTTGTCAAGTCTCTGAAATGGAAGCTCAGTCACCAGACAGGAGAAAGTGCTAACTTGGGTTAAAGAGAGGAGGAAAAATCCCGCTTTAAGCATGTGTTGCTTTTAAAAATTAGTTTAAAAATAGTTCTTTCAGGCGTGGCATTCAGGTTTGCTTATTCCATGCTAAAAAGAAACTGTAAGAGGCTTTCAGCCTGGGTAATAGAAAAGAAGCTCTAAGGAACCTTTGTATGAGCAGCGGGACTAAGGATTAAATCGACTTTGCTGAAAGAAGAGATGGATAGATTCAGTAACGCTTTCTTTTGGGTTAGTATTTAGGGATGTACATATGGACAAGGGCTTTTGCTGGAGATCTGTGCAGGACTCCTCCTGGAACAGTTCACAGGACCAGCATGGAGTGCCAGTGATGTTGTGCCAGAGCTCCTGTTACCTTTGCCTGTTATAAAAGAACACTGAAACAGTAAATAAAGTGAAATGAAGAGCAGATGTAGAATAAGTTTCTAAACCTTGTGTTCATACTAACCCTTGGGATATGTTGTATCATGTATTAGTGAGGTCAGGCATGGGGAGTAAGGGGGATGACTTCCATGGGCAGGTGCTGCTTATACCTACCAGTTAATGTTAGAAGAACCAAGTCCTCCACATGCTGTTTGGTGAAGGGCAGCTGACTGACTGCTGGAGATGGAATAGAAATTTCCTTCTGGTCAGAACCCAGCTCAGTGCGGGGGGATTTACACCTCCCGTTGAAGCATCTGGTGCTGGCTTCTGGCCAGCATGCCAGGGCAGATGAGCCAGAGCTGTGATGCAGCATATCAGTATCTTTTTAAAGCTGTGTGCTTTAGATGGCTGGGAGAAAAAGAGGGGGAAGGCCTGTGATATAACCCATTGCAACCTCTGGGGGTGGTAATGAGCAGAATAATAGAAGGGAGCAGTACTGCATTGGCTTTGTGGATTATCACCCAACTTGATGCCTACCTGAAGGAAGGGTGCTCAGGCATCTGTGCTGAACTGAAGTATACATGTGCTATTCTGGTTTGCCTTACAGCATACTGATTTTCAGTTAGAAGGTGATGTGTTGAAGCAGCTCATCTCTGTGTGGTGGCATCCAGTGGGGCTCAAGTCAGGGAGATATTTTTTGTATAACAACAAATATATGGTCATGAGAGAAGCAGTGATTGCTTAGATAAACTTTGCCTCTAACTATTTGCACTTCATGCCAGCTCTATCTTTAAGATGCAGAATTTTTAGATAGAATGGGATTATCAGAGCTGCTTGTGAACATGTGTTGCAGGATGTTTGTAACTGTTGTGTCTCTGGCCTTTGTAGGACACCTGTGGGTAGAGGAAGAGCTTGGCTTCGCTTGGCTCTGATGCAGAAGAAACTTTCAGAATACATGAAAGCCTTGATTAACAGAAAGGATCTTCTCAGGTGAGGGCTGATCTTGCTTTGGTTAGGTTCACTTCTGCCCTCTTGTAACATCTTTGTGATTTTTTTTACACCTAAGTGGTTAAGTATGTGTGAAATGGTAACATTTGTGAAATGCACAGCTTCCTCTGAGGGATTAAAAATGCTTAGTAGTCTGTCTTCGTTCAGAAGCTGTTATTTCTCCACTTTGTCTCCAATATCCTTTAGAATAAACACAAATTTTGGTTCCCAAGAGATGATTTGTGGTGAAATATTTGTACAGAGGGGTGCAGTATTCTGTCTGCAGAGTCTTGGCCCTGGATTTATTTTTGACCTTGTCACTTGGTTACCATGTGACCTGGGACATGTCGTTTCGCTTCTGTGTCTCTGCTTCCCACTCAGAAGCTAGCAACAATTTTGTAGTTCAATTGAAAGTCCATGGATTTGAAATACTACGTGTAGAGCAGTAGGATTTAATAATTATGATGTACTCAAGTACAAGTTGTTTTTTGTTGGCTGTCCATGTAAATCCATAGCTGTCTTTGGGTTAAGAAGGAGAACTTGATACTGTCCACTGGAAAATGTGAGGTGACTTGTGTGAATAACAGTAGGTAATGGAGTAGAAGTAAGCTACTTCAAACCCTCCAAAACAAAGCCCCAGCTGTAGATCTTCAGTGTGCTGTACCATTATTCAAGACTCAGACTTACTTTCCATCAGCTTTGTGCAAGGAGGGACCAGGTCTTTGCCTCACAGGCAAGGATGCCGTGCTAGCGGACAGCATTTTAGTTGACTTTTAAAGCTACAACACACCCTCTCTTGCTGTTCATCCCACAGTGAATTTTATGAGCCGAATGCACTGATGATGGAAGAAGAGGGTGCAATCATTGCTGGCCTCCTAGTAGGTTTGAATGTCATCGATGCCAACTTCTGCATGAAAGGAGAAGACCTGGACTCGCAGGTACTGGGGATTCATTTAACGGCGTTTTTTTCTGATCATTTAACTTGGAAGAAGTTTCCATTGTAGAGGACTTTCATCAACTGAGATACAAGCTTGTTTCTACATGTAGTAGAAGACTATCATAAGCTTGTTACTATGATTGTGGCTTTTGGCTAACTGGCAGTGCTGAGATCAGCAACCTGTGGTTTTGGTTTTCTCTTTGCTGTTATCCTTTGCTGCGGTCTGCACTGCAGAGTGAAAAGCAGCCAGTGAAAAAGGAGGTGAAAATGGGGAAGGACTTGGCCAAAGTGAAGGGAGAAATGGGCAGAACCATTGATTCCTCATGCTGTGTGATGAGATCATTGTAGCTGTGCAGCAACAGGAGCCTGTATGTGCTTATGTTGCAGCTTGTGTAAGCAGTGTATGTACAGTTATGGTCATGTTTTGTCCTTATGTCCTGAGACTTGTTTGCCAACTTGCTGCTTATCCTAGTATTTGTTTTGCCTGAAGTATACCATATTTTCATTAATTTTGGTGAGATCTCTGATACAATGAACCCTTATTATAATACGCTGTGTGTTATAATACTGAACGACTCTACAGACAGTGTTTAGTTTTAGAAAAAGTGTTTAATGTAAAATGCAAATTTTTCTTTCCTAGGTTGGAGTTATTGATTTCTCAATGTATTTGAAAGACGGGAACAGCACGAAAGGCAGTGAAGGGTAGGTAGAGACACAGGTGTCCTGCTTCTTATCTCCTGGGAACTTTTACTGTGAGCTAGTTCTCTGAATCCAAATGGATGAGCTGAATGATGCTTCTTTTTCCAGAGATGGTCAGATAACTGCTATTTTGGACCAGAAGAACTATGTAGAAGAACTCAATAGACATTTAAGGTAAGATGTAATTGATTTATTCTTTATTAAATAGTAGAACAAAATAGAAAACTATTTTAAAAAAAAAAAGAGACTCACCATAGGGTTTTTTCTCTCCGGCAGTGCTACAGTAAACAACCTACAGGCCAAGGTGGATGCCTTAGAAAAATCCAACACTAAACTGACTGAGGAGGTAAGTAAGTATCTGATGTGTTGGCCTTTTGTAATCAAGGATTAAAAAGGTAAGGGAGGAGTTATTTTCAGATTTCTGGTGTACATTAAATGATGGAACTGGAATAACTGACCTGCTGTGGAATTACATTGGATGTTGCTGCTTAACTAAGCATGAGGTGGAAAACCAACCAAATGCTTGTGTTAAAACCCAAAAGCTGCTGAATACTTCATCCCTCTGAGGTCTTTGAATGCTTTCTTATTTTTGGAAAATGTCTGAGAATAAATTACACACTGGATGTGGTTTCAAGTGCCATACAGATAGTGTAGCTTATGAAATGTTCAGACATGACAAATTTTTAAATATCTGATTATTTCGACAGGTGCAGAATTTTACTACAGTGTAAAGATAGTAATGGAAATGTTTCAATAACTTTTTTTTCTAGCCTACCACAATTGGCAAGAAATAAAGGACAAATTATCTTTAGAAATAAAACATCGTTCAGGCTGCAGCATGAAAAATGGTTGTTATGAGAGTCATAGGTGTAACATTTGTTAGTAACCTGTGTTTTAAAGTTGGCGTTTGCAGTTCATTAATAAAGGCATCAATGTAATAAAATCTGTTGGGGTTACTTCCCTGACAAAGGGTGACAGGTGTGAACCCAGTGGTATTGCAGTACCTCTGTCCACACCTCCCTAAGCTCTGCAGGATGATTCTGACGGGGATGGCTCAGAGCTCGTGCAGTACAGCTGTGAAACAGAAATTCTCTTGTGCTTGTTCACCCTTGTTAAAGGTCTGTGTGTCTGGTTGTTGAACATTCACTCTGGGTGTGTTCCAAACAATGAGACACTTTAGTGATGGAAAGTAGTCTACGCGATCTCACAACTAAGGAGTAAGAAATGTTACAATTAAAACACCTTTTGTAATTTCAAAAAGGTGGTCTGCAGCAGCTGCTGCTTTTCTCCATGCTACTGTAATATGTGGCTTTTGATTTACAACCTGTGGGGCACGTGTGCAGTGCCCATGAGGCACGTGACCTGTGGGGTTAATTTCAACAGTGACTCAAGTATTCTTTGTTTTCCAATTGCTTACTTGTTGTGTCTTACTGAAGTCTGCATGCTCTTCAGATGAATTTCAGAGGCACTGGAACACCCTGTGCCAACAGGGGTTGTTTGCAGGGTGTAGTTAATGCACCATGTCACATCAGTTTGAGAATTTGGCTTGAGCTGTACCAAAGACTTGTGTTTCTATCAGGGTAATTTCTGTTTGGGTTTGTCAATAACATTGGTGATCTCTTGGAATGTCCCTGAGCTTCTCCTGTGTGCGTGGCTTAATGTAAGTTAGGATTCACAAAGCCAGAAGGAGTTTAGTGAAGTTGTTTTGGCCTTTGACTGCACACTCCAAATAATCTGTTAGCCTGGGTATTCCTCTGAGGCAGATGTCCTGTCCCATAGGGATGGTGTGTGCTTCTGATACTCCTTTTCCAGCCAGATCTTTCTCCTCTGATGAGGTTCTCATTGCGCTTCTCCTGCCAGAGTGAGCATCTTGCATCTCGGATGCTCTTCCTAGCAGTGTACTCAAACTACTGGGGCTTTAGCAAGCCCCCGACAAGTGTTCCTTCTCTTGTAGTATATCTCAATTGTTAGAATTCAACAAAACTTAGCTGCTGCATACTCACGTTTTTCCTTTTTGTTATCTTTGGCAAGGGAAGTGGAACGGAGTGAGGGTTTCTGCTGAGTTGCACTAACCACACATTACGCTGAGTCTAGCAGGCAGAGAGACCTGAGGAAGTCAATAACTCTACTGTGAGACAAGAACCAAAATAGTTTGGAGAAATCTCTGGTTTAGCCAGTACTGGAAATCTGTCACACTAGCACTCATTGATGCTTTTTCAGGTAGTCTTTCTCCATGGTAGAGGCTGAGTTGTCTTTTGTCACTCCAAATTATTTTTTTTATTTTGCTTTGAGTGTAAAAAAAGAGTACAGAATGTGCGTCTAAAGAAGAAAAAAAACCCAGCAAATATGGTTTTGTTATGTTGTTCTATTTTGTTCACAGCTTGCAGTTGCAAACAACAGGATTATTACACTGCAAGAAGAGATGGAACGAGTTAAAGAAGAAAGTTCTTACATCTTAGAGACCAATCGTAAGGTTGGTGTGTGTGCGTGTGTGAAAAAGTACTGAACCTTTTGGGCAGTTCAGCCCAAATTCAACTCAGTGTTTGGAGGAGACTATTTCCTAATGTATCTCACACAAAAACTGCAATAAAGAAGAGTGGCTCCAGGTGGGTCCTGGGCAGAGGGTAACAGATGGACCCTGGTCCCAGTAAATCCTGCCTGGCTGGAGCTGATTAGACCGTGAGTGTGTGCAGAGCCAGGAGCTAACACAGCGTGTTCCTGGCTTGCTGGGATGTGGTGTCAGAAGGGACAGGAGGAAGGATGATTTACTGAGGGGGTGACAGAAAAATGTGCACGTAGGAGTTCTGCTTCCTTGGTCGGAAACATCACTTTCCTTCTTGGAAATTGGGGCAAAATCTGTAATATTTTTGTGTTAATTTATTGAAAGTGCTAGTAACTATGGCAGAATCTGAGCTTAGTTTTAAAACCATTGAGATCTTTTTTTGAGGTGTCTGTAACCACAGTTTGTATATCTTCAAAATTCTGAAAATGGACAATGTCCATTTATATCCACTGAGCATTTGAGGATAATGGGGAAAATAGAGTCAAACAGAGAAGCCATGTGCTGTGGTAACTGAACAGAAATCTGAGTTATACTAGTGGCAGAATTTGGTTTCAAAGTGGTGGGGAAAGCCAATATCAACAAATGTGATGGTTAGTAGTATGTAATAACAAGTTAATTGGGTGTCTTCATTAACTTAGGTCACTAAAGACAGAACTGCTGATGGACACGCGCTGAGTGAGGCACGGAAACAGCTCAAGGAAGAGACTCAGCTGCGCCTGGTGAGGACTCTGTGAGCTTGGAGCTGGCTACAAATGGCTTTGCCACGTCAGAACACCATGCCACAATCGCTTCTGAAAATGTTTGGCCAAGGGATTTTTAAAATCTTTTTTTATTCTTGCCTCCCTGCTTCAGGCTGATCTGAGACAGTCTCGTCAGAAGGGGTGTTACATGATTTAGGAAATAGTCTGCCAGCTTTTCACTAGTCCCCTGCATCAGAAAGATGGGCCTCTGTAGTATTTCTGTCTCTTTGCAAGTAAAGCTGATCACATTGCTTCAATATCAGGCTGAAAAGGTGAATTTCTTGTCCTTAATTTGAGACTTGGCTGTGTTAGATCCATAACTGTGATGCCGTGGCAGTGCAGAACTCGTCTCGGCAGCAACAGCGTTGGCAGAACACCAGCTGAGGGTGGTTGTCTCACTGTGGGGAGCAGTGCTGACTCATCCCTGTGTTCCAGGATGTGGAGAAAGAGCTGGAGGTGCAGATCGGGATGCGACAGGAGATGGAGCTGGCCATGAAGATGCTGGAGAAGGATGTTTGTGAGAAGCAAGACGCGCTGGTGGCGCTTAGGCAGCAACTGGATGATCTCAGGGCCCTAAAGCATGAGCTGTCTTTCAAGTTGCAGGTAGGGAAATGCTTAAATCAGCTGCAGTGTATTTCAGATATAAGTGATAGCTCCTGTTCTTTTTTTTCCCCTTGACTACTTTAGAGGTGCTTGGTTTGGAATGTGATTTTTTTTTTTTTTTCTTTTCAAAAGACTCATGATGATCCAGAACTCTGTTTATTTGGGAAAGCATCTTCTGTATGTTTGTAGTATAAAACCAGAACCATGGTAACTTCTGTTCCAGCACAGTCTAGGTGTTGAAGGTGTATGGTCTGAATACATACACTGCTGTGTGACAACAAAAGCAGACTTGTAAGAAAAAGAGCAGCACAAAATGCTCAGAATGAGTCCCAAAATAAGTTTTAGAATGGGGAAGAGTTGCTTCTGCTCTATTTGAGCCAATCTTTCTGTGCCAAACAGTTGAGTGATGCCAGAAGGTATTGGATTAAACATGTATTATACAGGAGGATTTGCTGATTATAGCATTGCCCTTCTGTGGGGTCCACATGTAGCCTGCACCTCTATGGCAAGATGTCTGTCCTTGCAGTACTGACCTGGCGTTGGCTTTTTGAGCACCTTTTCCTACCTCCTTGGCTTCTGCCTAATTTGTTTCATGTGCCACATGACAGGTACATGTCATGACTTACCAAAACCCATGATGCTACTTTTTCCAGAGCTCAGACATGGGAGTGAAACAGAAGAGTGAATTAAACAGCCGTTTGGAAGAAAAAACAAATCAGATGGCTGCCACCATCAAACAGCTTGAACAAAGGTAAAAAAATGAAACTTTCCCATTTCTAAAATCCTGTGTGTATTCTAGTGGACATGTCCCACTGACCCTGAATGGAGCAGGCCAGACTCTGAATGCCTTGCTTAGCTGCTGCTAAGCAGGAGCTATGTGAGGAGATCTCTATTTTTGAGGTGCCATTAGAAGTGTTTTGCATGCTCAGGAGCTCCAATGGGACTGGGTCAAGTTCCATCCCAACAGCTGTGTTGGTCTCATGATACTAATCTCTGTGAAATTAGGAGGGCCTCAGCATGGAAGTCAGATCACTCTGAGAAGGAGCAGTGCTCCTTTACCCCTTTGCCCTGGTTCTCAAAGCCCAGCCTTGCAGTGCTGGGGCCAAGGGTTCAGAACTTCAGTCTCTGCAGATTGCCGTGGCTGTCCTTTTAGCTCTGAGATGACCAGGGGAAAGCATCCCTCTCAGCAGCATGCGTGGGACTTAGTTAGTGAGTAGGGCATTGCACTAAACCAATGCTCTTGGTTTAGGTTTGATAGTCTGAATGATCCTTTGTAAAAAAAGGTTGTTTTGTTTATTAAAAAAAATATTAAAATTTTTAAATGACAATTACTCAGCTAATTGATATGCTTTTTTTCTCTTGCTGTTCTTATTTTTTCCATTTTCTCATCCTCCTCATTCTGACTTAATTATACAGTGAAAAGGATTTGGTGAAACAGGCAAAAACCTTAAACAGTGCTGCAAACAAACTGATTCAGAAGCATCATTAGACATTTTTATGTCAGGTCACCTTACAGCTCTGATATCAGAACTCATTTCTGAGAGGAGAACTTGAGAATTGCTAAAAGCAACTGTTAAAATGTTAATTGTCACCTAAAGTTGATTTGGAATTTGCTGAATTTTTCAAACCAGTGAGTTTTTCTTCAGAGATTTAGAGTTGGGTATAAAAATCCCTAACTTTGGCATTTAAACTGTTGAAGTACCAGTGAGTTGGCCAATGAATACACCAGAGAAGTGTAAGGAGTGGGAGATGTGTGGCCCTGTACATGCCGGTGAGGCAGACCATGTACAGCCACACAAGGTTTCAGCAGTTCTGGCTCCTAGGTGCATTGGTCCAGCCAGTATCAGATTGGCCAGCTCTGGAAAGTCAACTAGTTTTATGTGTTACCCTTTTTGTGAAGTAGATGAAAAAAATGCATCCCTGGAAGTTGTTGGAAGTAGTTGTGTGCGTAGCCCAAGCCGTTCCCCGTCCAGTTCTGTTCCGTGGGTCCAGCCCCAAGCCCAAGAGGTAACTCACCACCTGGAGACCCAGCCCTCTTGTAACCCAGACCGCTTGCAAGGGTTTTGCCTTAGGGATTCGGTGGGAGGGTGGGGACTTATCCTTATTCCTTGAGACTTCATGTGTCCAGAATTAGTAGCTAGGTGTTTTAGAGTAACACGATAGAGTGGTGAGTTCAGTGGAAACCTCCTCATCTTTGCATTGCCTTCTACCTCTGTCATGAATCCCTCTAGACATGTGTCGCGGTTCCTCCCGACCGAAGGAAGCTGAGGAGAGGTGTTTTGGTAGGTCTTTCCTCTTCCTAGAAAGGGAGGTTAGCATTTTACAAAAAAAATCTGATTTTTATACTCTGGTGTTTAAAAGACACAAAAGCAAAAAAAACCAAAACCAACCAACCAACCAAACAAAAAAACCACCAAACCAAAAACCAAACAAAACAACAAAACCCAAACAAACAAAAAACCGCAGCAAAACCAAGAAAGCAACAAAATGTGCAGTGGTGGGGAGTGGACATGGTAATTCAGTACTTGACCATTCCTTGTCTGTGGTTCAAAAGGAAGAGTTGCCTTTTACTATTAAACTTCTTTCATTTGCTCCAGAGTTTCTCTTGCTTGATACTCGTGGAATTTGCTAATGAAAGAACAGCTAAAGCTTGGAAGCAGCTCTCAGTAGGAAAAATAATTGGCAATTTAACGCCCTAGTGCAAACTGTACCTGTAGCTTGGACTATTATAAACTCATATCCTCTTCCCTGGAGCTGCAGAAGTTCACAGTGCTGGCCTGTCACATGCTTTAGGTTGTAAGTGCTCATAGAGATATTTCTTTTTTTCTTTCAAGAAGATCCCATTTGGGGGGATTCTGTGTTGAATAAGGGTTTTTTTCCCCTCTGGTCAGATGCCTGTGAAAATTCTTCAGTGCCAGTTCTCCCTTTGTGCTGGGGAACAGTGCTTCTTGGGTGGGGCAGAAGGTGGCTGAACTTCTTTCACAGGCAAAACTTGATGTGGAGACATGTTTTAAATCTCTACGCCGTACCCAAGTTGCACGCTTGGAAGCATAAACTTAACCTTCAGTAATCCTTTACTAGAAATTCACTTAAACTATCTGGGAAAAAAAACAATAATGTAAAGGGTGGAAGCTTTCATCAAGGTATCCCAAGAGCTAGTTAGAACAGCTAACTCCCCCGGCCCTCCCCAGATCTCCTCCATAGAAACAAGGGGTTGGGCTGGCTTTGTTTGCTGTCCCAGGAATGCTAAAATAAGGCAGAATTAAGGATCTGGCCCCTTCTGATGAGGCCCGAAGCAGAAACACTTTGGAGTAGCTGTGCCTGGGCGCTTCAGCCAGTGGGTCAGTCCCTGGAAGAGACCAGGAGAACATACCAATTCCCAGTACAGTAGCTAACCTGTTGCAAGTTCCAGTTACACGTGTAAAGCTGAAATGTAACCTACATTAAAATCCGATTTGACTTAAAATTCTGTGTACTTGAGGTTTGCTTTGAATCTGGATACAAGTGATGTTTTATGTTTTTCATCTAATGGCTGTAAACTGTAGTAATAGAATAAAAACTCTTGAAAATCAGAGCTTCTGCCTGGTTCACCTACATCTTGCTTTTCTTTAAAATATTTTCCTCCTTTCCATTGTTTTTTTTTTTACCATTTGTTTGTTTGGCTTTACCTTTTCACTGGGTTTTTTATTTGTTGGTTAAACTCGGTCTTCCTCCCCACCATGGCTTTTGTTTTTTATCACAAGTTCATGTGGCTCAAATCCAGATTGCGACAGGCAGAGAAGGACCGTCAGTTGGCCCAGCAGGACAACCGCCTCTTCAAGCAGGAGTTTGGGGACAAAATCAACAGCCTCCAGCTAGAAGTGGAAGAGCTCTCCAGGCAGCGGTGAAGAGATCCTTTCCTAATCTATCTTCTGGGCTTTTTCTTACTGTGTCTAGTAGCAAGCAGGCAGGGCCAGCGCAGAACAGGGGCTTTCTGCACTGCGGTTGCATGTGTTTGGCATCTGCCAATAACCATCTTGTTTGCCATCTTGGTGGCACTGGAGACGTAAGAGGACAGGGATCACCACAAGCTGCAAAATCTGTTTGGGATACTGAATAGATGCTCAGTCTGCACTGGGCTCACCTTGCAGGTTAGCTCCCTGAAGTCTAATGTTGCATCTGACTTGGCACTACAGTAGTGTCATGTAGAATCCAAAGGCAACATGAAAAACCAGCAATTTGCTGCTCATCGGCCTAGAGCTCACATGAAGGCGGCTGGAGCAAGGAAAGCTGTCCTAGGTGTCAGTCTGATCACCAGTGCTGTCATAGCTTTTTTTTCCCAGTTGAAACTGGTCTCAGGTTTTGTTGGGAGGCAACCAAAAAAGGTGGAAGCCAAACTGGAGACCGTGGCAAGAGCTATCACATTTTCCCCTGCAGTGTTGCCAGTTCACCAGTGTCAGGAAAATGGAGAAATCCTATTAGCTTAAAATAGAAGAGCATCTCTTGCTTCTTCACAGCCATGACACATCTTTGGTTCTGGCAAGGTCACTGGAATGAGTTCTGCAGAAGCATTGCTGGATGCATTATTTTTTATTTTCCCCTCCTGGCACAACTTTGTTTCCTTTTTCAAAAAGTGACAGAAAACCAGCAAATGGCTTTTATCAGAATTTGTGCAAGGCCCTGAGTGCACACAGGGGATGGGTATGAAGAGGGGATTCCCCTCCTCTGCTTCTGCCCCCTACACCAACTCAGGTCAGCTCAGTTAGTGTAGCTGTCTGAGGAGGGCATTGCCAAATTGTTCAGGTTTGGCATCAGTTGGACTTCGGAGCACTATGGGGATCAACAAAGGTGACAATGGAAAATGTTGGCTTTAATAGCAATGGGAATTCTGAATGTTTGACAGTACAAATCCTGCTGTTACTGTTTTCAGCTCTTGAATTTGGGGGTTGGTTGCGTTGGTGTAAAGCAACGGTTAAGTAGTTGATTAGCTTTCAAGTGATACAGACCTGTAGACTCTACTCACAATTCCACCTTCATGTCCTAGGAACCACCTTGAACTGGAACTGAAGCGGGAACGAGACAGATGGTCACACAGCCACCAGCGCAGCCAAGAAAACAAGAAAGGTGCCAAGAATTGGCTCAGACAGGTAATGGGGCTGTTGTCCTTGTCTTGGGTTTGAAATAGTTTCTTTTTTGAAAGTTAGTTTTTTGAGTTTGAAATCGTTTGCTTTTCCTGAGCTTTGTTCGGCAATAAATGCATGCTGTTTACGCGACCGAACAAAACGAGCTTTGGAACACTTCTTACACACACTCAATAGGCAGCTTATTGAGTTGAGCCTCCCAGAAGTACTGCAGATGTTACCAGCTGTTCATGAACACTGGTTTCCTTCTCTGAGCTGGGTACCTGACACAGTCTTGAGCAACTGTGGTGTTCTTCACTAACTGAATAAAACCAAGTATTAATACAGCAGGAGAGATGCTGAACATGCTACATCTCATGAAAAATATCCTTATTTTTATTTTTTGCGTTAGAGTAAGAGAAATTCTCCCGCAAGAGATAAATAATGAAATCTTGGAAGGCAAACTTCTCTCTTGAGGCTATCACAATTGACATGCAGTGTTCTTTTAGTGCTACGCATTAAGTTCGGTGTATTTTAAAGCAAAGCGCAGTGTTCATCTCAAGAGTAAACTCAAGTCACCCTGCCTGAAACTCCCTTTTTAGCAGTAACTTTGCATTTGAAAATTAAAATCTTCTCTGCAGCTTTTCTGTAGAAACGAAACAGGCTTTTTTGGTGGCAAGTGGCAATAAGATAGTTGTTCTGGAGAACAAAACTTGTAACTATGAGAACTGTGAAGTAATAGAAGCTGTTTCCACAGTTCTCATGTGTGCTGCTGCACTTGGAGGTTCCTTGGCCATGCTCCCCTGGGCTGCTGGAACAATTCAGGGTTTGGAGTTTTTTTTTTTAACCAAGATTACACATAGTTTCAGAGAAGTTATTTACACATCACAAGTCCTCAAAAAGTCATGGTTGCTGCAGCAGAACAGCTGTCATTTGCAAGAAGGAATTGGGAACTAAGTGTGATGCGGTTGGCCTGTGAAAATGGAAAGAAGGAAGCCCCGGCCCCCCAGCTGGGTGCTCTGGTTTTCAAAGCAGAGGTTGGGAGGTGCTCTGGAAGGCAGGACAGCAGCTTTTCCACGCCCCATAGCTGAGAGCCAATGGCTTAGAGACCAGGTTATTGGTCCATCTGGTTCAGAATGGGCTTCTCTTTTGCCCCAAAACTCAGAGGTGGTGCATGATCCCCTGGAAGTTTGCATTTCCAGACATCTAAGAGCCCTGCTGTGATTGTAGCAAGAGCTGGAGAGGAACGTGTGTGTGGGTGACTCTGCCAGGGCTGCCCATGCAGCTGGGAGGCTGGTCCTGTGGGGTCTGGTGGGCACACATTGGCCTGATTGTGACCCAGGTCTAAGCTGGCCTGGAGGGAAGGATTTGTTCCTTTCCTGGCTGAGAGGATTTGTCTTGCTGATCAGGCGTTAAAGAGCCTCTTCAACCTGTCTACCTTTTCAGCCTCTGCCGTTAGACTAAAATAACAGAGACTGTAAAGCATCTTGGAGTCTGCATCCTGCTCAACTGATGGGTCAATGTTTCCTTCTGCAGGATGGGAAGCTCAAAATCCAGGAAGAAAATACTAAACTGAAACAGCCATTGAGGGAGGAGAACAGTGTCCCACCACACAAGTATGGAAGAAATCAAATCTCAAGTTTGCTTCATCCTTTACCAAGTCCTGCTTCCCATGCGCTAATTTCTTCACTGATGGGAGGTTTGGAACAGTGCAACCTCCCTGTCTACTGCAGATTTGCAACCTCTTGCCCTTTGTTGAGGTCTGTTTGCTGCTATCTCATAGCTCTCAAAGGGAAGAAGGAGATTCTGCTCTGTACCATCAGGTTTCTCACCCATTCACCTTTGATATTTTTTTCTATATAAATCTGCTGTTTACTGATTTTTCTTACTCAGTGAGTCTTTGTAAACTAAATGCTGCAGAGATCTGGACCTTTGGTACTTGTGTCCAAAGATACCTTTGTTGGAGAGGGAGAAGAGAAGGGTCAGTGGATCAGTGGTATTTGGAGCTAATGAACAGTGGCTTCTGGAGAAAGAGAACTAGAAATAATATTTGAAGAAGATGGTTGCACAAAAATGTAGGTCAGGTAGAACGTTCATAAGCTGAGAGGAGGATTCTTGTCATAGGGTTTGTTTAGTATCTGAGAACTGTTTCAGATTTGGTGTTAAATGTTAAGAGGTGTTTTAGAAGGCTCTGTGGCGAGGGCTTGGCTGGGAGCTGATGACAGCCGGCGTGACGTACTTGGGACGTCAGTGGAGGAGCGCCACTCTGACAGGCCATGCTGGATGCCGGTGTGAAGTTAAGCAGAAAAGTATTGGCTTAAAAATAGCCTAAGCTCAATTCAAATCTGCTTTACCAGCTACTGGGAACCTTCTGGGCCTTAGGTGCCTTTTTTGCCCCGTTTCACCTTGAGTGTTTAAGCAGTGTGAGCGTCGGGCTGACGTTTCACCTGAAAGGCTTCAAAATGCATCAGCGCTGACTGTTGGCACAAGTTGAAGGAGATTAAATATTTAGCAGTAATAATTTTAAAGCTACTTTTAAACTGTGTTTCTACCATTTAAAGAGTCACTTCTATATTCGTGCTCCCTTGCCTCATTCTAGTTCTCCACACCAGTCACACCACAACTCCTTAGGAACACCTCATCTCCCAGCTGAGCAGAGCTGGCAGTGGGGTTTTGGAGAAACCAGCCCAAAAATCTGCGTGGGTAGTTTTAAAACAGGATGAGGGGATTCTCTGGTGGTCCAGGTTTTCTCACAAAGAGATGTGGTGGCTGAAGCTCCAGCTCCAAGTGACGGTGTTCTTCTCTTGCAGGTTGCTGAGCGGTGCACCGGAAGAGCAGGTTGGTGATTCTTTATCTTGCACGAAATGCTGAAGGACGGGGGTACAGAGACCCGCAGCCTTGATCCTAGCCTGAAATTGGAGCTGGGTTGCCTGGTGGTGTAGCTGGTGCCACTGAAGATGGGGGTGCAGTGGTCCTGGGTGGCTGCTTTGTGAGGGGTGTTAAAAACAAGTGTGTGAATTCATCCTCCCTGTTGTAAGATGTGGCTCTAGTACAAGTACCAGGTAGGGAAGCTTGTAAAGCAGAATGTCTTGGCTTTCACTTGGGGTTTAGGAGCAGCTCTCGGGGCCTGGGAACGCAGAGATCTGCCAGCTCTGCCAGGAGGAGAGCAGCCGAAGCAAAAAAAAGGTAACTCTGAGGACTTATCTTCTCTGTCATCTGGTGAACGTATGTTTTCTCTGAGTTTTGTTTTCAACTAGCAGAGATTTCCTACTGGTGACCTGGGACAAAGAAACAAGCCCTTGCCTGAAGAAAGCTTGTTAAACAGTGGTCACTTGAGGGTTCCCCACTCTGCTTTGTGTCCAGTGCTTTGGTTTTTCTTCCCCTTAGCAGCTTCTGCCCTTTGTAGTTGTTTTTTTTCCTGGGGTCGATCATAAATGAGAAGAATGAGAAAAAACCACTTATTTTCTTTGTGTTGCTTGCATCCTGAGCAACTCCTGAACTTGTGTCCTCTTCCTGCCTTCCAGAACATGTGTAAGAACTGTGGTGGCACCTTCTGTGAAGGCTGTTCAGCGAACGAGCTGCCCCTCCCGTCTAGCATTAACCCTGAGCGTGTCTGCGATCCCTGCCACAAGCGGCTCATCCAGCAGTATTCCAGCAGCCCCTTGTAGGGCAAGTGCTGCGGCGAGGTGACAAAACTTCTTTGTAGCTGATGATGGTTTCTGGAGTTCTTCAGGGGGAATGTGAAGAGAAGACAGTTGCCCGTGTTCTTTGGAGGTCAGGGGGAAGTAGCTTCGTGGTTTGCAGTCTCTTGTGACTCAAACAAGTCTGAGCCTTCCCGCTACCAAAATCCACCTGCTCTCAGAAATGTCCTGTGGAGCAGCACCAGCATGTGTGTGAGCAGCCTCAGGGCAGGGTGACAACACAGCCCCCACCCAAAAACCAGCTCTGGGCCTGTGTCTGAGCCTCCAAGTTAGGAAGGTTCTCGAGCGTGTGGTGTGAAGATGTGCTGTTGCTGTGAGGGCCAGGCCTGCTGAGCGCTGAGCAAGGGCCACAGTCCGAGCTGTGGAAGTTCCCTGGCTGTGTTTTGGGGGCTGGGCTAGGGGGGTTGAGGCATGCGCCATGCCAGAGCCAAGGACCTGCACTAAGGCACCTCCGACCTGTCCCTGGGAGACTCTCCCTGTGACTCCAACTACATAATGGTGAAGGGCGTCACCATTCTTCTGTCTCAGAGTGGTAACTGGAGGAATTGAGTCCTTGAGTGTTTAGGTACCAAATCCTCATTACACAGGTTTAGGGCCACTTTGATTCACCTCTCCCCCATGGGCACATGAAAAAGTCACTGTAGTAAATGCTGGCATTTCACCTTTGTTAGAATTTAACCAAAAAAAAAAAAAAAAAAAAGAGATGACATGGGAGCATTTTTCACTGAATAGAAACTCTGATTTGAAATACCGTTTGAAGATGTTTCACAGTTGATGCTGTGTCCATTCTTTGTTGCTGTTACCTCCAGGTTTTCCACATTACTCCAGGAAGCAGCAGTGGTTTCCTCATGGAGCACGCAGCATGTTTGGGCTATGTTTGGTCTGGGGTTTACTGGGGGCTGACTGCAGTCTGCAGGACCACAAAGTGTTTTGTAGTCCATAGCAAATGGGTGTATTTGTATGTGACAAACACATTTTGGTTTTGTACAGGTTTTACTAGGGGTAAGTGGTTTAATTCCTTAGAGAGGATTTTCTGTCATGAGGCTGGAACTGAATTAAAAAGTGTGTCAGAGCTGGAGTTATTTACTTGGTTGGTGACTTACTCTCTTCAGTTCCCTCCAGGCCTCAGCGTGTCCAGCCACCCACATTCTCCAGCCTTCCCTTCTGCCCCATAGAACCAGAGCACTTCACTGCAGAGGGCAACTGTAAAGTTTTTTTTTTTTTTTTCCTGCCCTTTTTTTCCCCCAGTGGTAGTTAAGTTACATTTCCTTGCTGCTGTATCCCTTCAAATAGGTAACTGAAGTGTTGAGGTGTGACAGACCTGGAGTCAGTGTCACACTGACATAGCGTGGGCATAATGCTCTGAGACTGTGGGGCAATGTGAGACGCTGAATTTGGTGTTTGTTGAATTTAGTGTTGTTAATTTTGTGTACGTACCGTACACATCTGTGAGATTTCAAATCCCTGCATCCGACCCCAGTGTGACTCCTCCAAGAAGCAAGGGAGACCCAAACAAGTCCCATGTGAGAGGGTTAAACTGGAAACAGGGCCTTCGCTGTGCTGTGAATTATTTTAGTGCTGGAATGTCCAGCATGCTGCAGCGACACCTCACTTGTGACAGGAGCGGCTGCTGCTCCAAGTGAGGGACAGGAACAGCAGGGGGGCAGCTGAAGACCCCTGGGAATAGAGCCAGCTGCCAGCACTCGCCTCTTCCTGGCGTCTCGGGCTCTGGCGCCCGCCTGCGCCTGGATGTTGCACCCCACGGGGCCGCTGTTGGCGTGGGTCCTACCTGTGGTGCTGGAGCCAGGGTGACAGTGGGATGGGGGGGAGCCGAGGGCAATTTTTCTCATGTTCACTTTGTTCCGCACAATAATAAAAACTTGATCATCTGTATCCAGTGTCCTGAGGGGTCTTTCCAACTGGTAGCAGACAACGGGTGCAGCTTGAGGAGCGTGGTGGGAGGGCTGAGGTGCAGACTGTGCTATGGAGCACGGGAGGAGCTGCTCTCACTCTGGGGTCGTTACCTGCCGTAGTGGTGGTTTATTAAAGCTCTGTAGCACAGAGCAGTGGCTGCTGCTTCTGTGACAGACAGTCCTTCTACAGAATTGCAACACATGTTTATTACAGGCTGTTACACGATGCTAGTAAACTAGGGGTTTATACAGTTCATCCTCATTGCTGAGCAGCGACACTCGTCCTGCATCTTCATGCTTGTACCCAAGGAATGTCTTCGCTTTGGCCTGGAAAGGTAGAGAAGAAAAATCACTACCTAAGCTCAGTGCTTCCCTTTTTTCAAAAGCATTGTATTCTATCTTGTCTTCAATAATAGTAGAAATTGGAAACACTACAAGATTCCACGAAAAAGAGTAAGAGGTCACAAAGGTGCACGATGTTGTCGGGGGGAGCCTGCAGTACACATGTCGGGGGGAAGGGGTCTTTAATTCTGCTGGGGCCAGGAATTATTTGGGCTGTTCCAGCACTGAGGCTGCAGCCAGGTGCGCATCCTGAACCTGCCCCAGGAGCTTTGCCCCAGCACAGAACCCCTGGGGCCCTGGGCTGGCTGCTCTCCCCACTGCAGCTCTGGGGATAAGGGCACGGTGGCCTTCATCCTCTGGGCAGCACAGTGAGTGTGCTTTCAGCTTGAGGAACTGAGGTTCGCAGGCCAGAGACACCAGGCTTGATGTGTGACCACAGACACAATTTTAGCTTTCAGGCAGGTTGAAAGCCAAAGACACCAGAGCAGTGGAGCCTGAGGGACGCATTGCTAAAAAACGGACCAATGGAGACAAAGGATGCGCTTACCAAAGCCGAGACCGTGCCACTGTCGCTAGCAGTTTCCTTTTGCCTTTGGATGTTCATTCAGGAACAATTCCACAGCACTGCACTCTGGGGAACAATTTGAGAGAGGCGGTCAGTGACTTCTACATATCTCATTTTATCTGTTTTCGTTTTCTTTTTCTTTTGGCACAGATTTACTGTCACATCAGAGGGTGAAGCGAACTCCCAGTTTCAGATGCCCCTTTTTGCACAGGGTGTGGACAGCAGCTTGCCAAGCTGTGCCCAGTGACCCGAGAGGCCCTTTCTCAGGGTTGCAAGAGCCCCCACCCTGCACTCACGCAGCTGCGACCCCTCTTTGGCCATCGCTGCCACTGCGTCCTCATGGCTTGCAAAATGCACGTCTGCTTCTCCCATGGCCTCGCCAGGGCAGCTGTATTCCACTGTGATCCTGGTGGGCTTCAGCGGGGCAAAAAACTGGAAGAGGGGGTAAATAAAAGGGAGTTTAGTGAGAAAGAACCCACAGAACAGTAACACACCCTGTTAATGAGAAATTCAGGGTGTTTTAGTCATAAAGCCAGGCTGGATATGGTGGAGCCTGAGCTCCTGAGTAGCTCAAATCCCCCTTTCGCTCTCTGGGTGAAGGTGAGGTACACCCTAGTCACCTTCTCCATGATGCACAACCCCACCCCCTGTAAGCGCCTGGCACAGTAATTCCCGATGAGAATAAAAATCCTCATACAGCACCCATGTTGTGTGTGTGTCAGGAGCCACAACGTGTGGCTACACCTACTCTGTGATGCTGTATACTATTAAAATTAAATCTAATCGGTATTAAAGGCTTCTGAAATTCATTTTTGTACAATCAGCTGCTCTGAAATGTAGCTCAGGTCATAAATGACCGCTCAAGCCTCAGGAATGGCCACTAAGCCCAGCAAGTTTTAGCCATTCTGCCCGTGAGGCCACACCTTTGCCAAGGAGCCCGTAACCCTGAGCAAGCTCCAGTTCCAAATGTGCTCAGCCTGGAGCTACACAGCGCAGATCAATTAAAACCCCCAAATCAGCTGTAACAATTGAGAGTTTACACGATTAATGAGATTTTGTTCCTAGTTTTAAGGTTGCTCACATTGATGATGTCCTGGGCACTTGCTTGGGCAGGAAACCCCCTCATGTGGACAAAGTGTAGTGGTGATGAGACACTCGCAGATTCCAAACTCTGCCTGGAGCTTTCCATTCTGTCCCTGCCCAGATCTGTGGAATGGAAGAAAAACACCACTGCGAATGCTTGCAGTCACCACCTCCCATCTATAGGCACACGGAGGCCCAGGCAAGCACACGGGGTAAAACATGGGGCCTCAAAGAACATGCAGGACAGGGAGGGTGGACTCACTGTTTTCTCTCTCTGTGTTGGAGCCCCCAGTGCTGCCCGCTCCCCTCTGTTCAGACAGTGGCTCGTGGTCTCGTCTCGCCTGGGGGTAGGCCACCAGCTGCCTGTCGTAAGGCATGTGCCTTTGCATGTGATGCTTTCTGCTGACGTACACCTCGATGTACCTGGAATTACAGGGAAGAGACGATGTGCTGCAGCTTGCACCTCTGCAGAGAACTTGGGGTTTTGAGAACACACCACAGGGTGTTCTCTTGCCTCAGCTCTGCTCATGAGAACCAGGAAAGCAATGGGTTTAAGAATAATTGATTTAAGTTGCAGTTAGATTTACAAAAGCCCTTTCAGCTGGCAGCGACAGCCACTCGCCCATACAAACCCATGTATCATCAGCTTGATGAGACTGGTCTGAACAAGGGCTTCAGTTCACAGCCTTGCATAGCATCTTGTAGAAGTAACACCAAGCCCTCACAAGCCCAAATTCTGGCCTGTTGCAGAAATACAAGTTTACTTCCTAAAAAAAAAGTTTTCTTTCTGTACAAGCCCATTTTGAGTAGCCCTGCAGGTGAGGCCGTTCTCCCTTCGCTCCACCTTGGCAACCTGCACTTCCCCAGGTCTACAAACCCCAAATTAAAAATATCCCACAGCCCTAAAAGAAGCAGGCAGAGAAGATGTGAAGGGTCCTGTTAAACACCTCACTGGAGCCATAAGATTCACGGTACAATCGATGGGAAAAAAATGCAGCAGGGTGTGGGGTGTGAAAGTTGTGTGTGTAATACACCAGTAAGGGAAGTAACCCCCCAGCCAGGCCACCAGTGCTCATGGCTCCACCCCCGGGGAACAGATCAAGGCCATCCTGGGATAATATCAGTAGCCCAGGGAGGATGAACGGAAGCAAGCTGACAGTAGTTTTGGAAACAGCCCCATTTCTGGGCTAATCACTTGGGAATGGAGGTGGCTGAGTTCTATCAGGACAAAGGAAGAATCAATGGCACACTGGGAATGAATTAACCTCTGCTGGAGGAGGGGAAGTGTGTTAATTAATTCACTTATGAAGCACACCTACAGAGCAGCTGTTTTCTTCAAATAGGGGCAGGGAGACAAACACAATGAAATGCAGATGGGGACCAGGAAGAGAGGAGCTAGAAGACAGAAACGAGCTGGTGTGTAGGTGTGGGGAAATCTTCTGTTACCTAGTTTCAGAAAAAGAATTTACCAGGTTATTGAAGAAAAATCAGAAAGCTCAGCAGGATAAAAGCTATCTTGGTGTTTTGGGTTGTTGGTTTGTTTTTTTTTTCTTTCCCTCCACAAATGCAGCTATTGAGTGGTTTCAAAGCTGTGGAGATGTGGGCCTGAGACACGATTTAGCAGAGACTTCGCAGCGCTGGGTTAATGGTTGGACTTGATGATCTTCAAGGCCTCTTCCAACCTAAATGATTCTATGACTCTGGGGAAAAACTGGTATATACTTCTGCTTGAGAAAAGAAAGTCTCAGTGGGGTGTGTGGCAAAGGGCTCTGTGCTCCAGAAGTAAATGGTGACATGTGGATTGGTGAGGAAGGAGGACAGCCCAGGTGGATGTGGTCACCAAAGAGAAACACAACTGTGTGGTGTGGTCTGGGATGGAGCCCAGCCACAGGTGAGTGGTATGCTTTGGTTTGTACAGTGTGCTCCCAGAGCGGAAACGTTGGCTGGGACTGGGATGAGAAGTAAGAGGGCTGCCAAAATCACAGAAAACCCCCTGGAACCTGGTAGCAATTGGGGGGGAGCTGTATGTGGGAGGTGTTGGATCCCCATGCACTTGTGAGCAGGCAGGGGGTGTCTTGTGTTCCCTGCTCTCAGCACTACACCCCTACCCCTGCTGGGACCAGACTACCTTCAGAACACTTAAAAAGAGCTGAGACTTCCCTCAAGAGCCCGAAATTCCCAAAGCTACAAGCACTGAAGGTGCCTCTGGAGCACACAGAAACCTGCAACAAGCTTCACCTTCCAGTTTTGTCAAAGTTCTAAAGAAAGCATCTCCAGAGAGGCAACCCAGAGTGTTTCAGGGTGTGCTATTAAAAAAATAAATGTTTTAAGGCACAAAGTAACAGTCTGACACCACGATGGGGAAAGTTAGGTGTGTTTTCTACTGAAATCTGAATCTCGAGGTTTGGTTTTAAGAATGATAAAGGCAGAAATTTCCCTAATGCTACTGTGATTATGGGCTAGCCCAAGATGAGTTGCTTCATCTGGGAGGAAGCCTGCCGCAAAACCACAGCATGCTTCACAGCCTGCTCTCCTACCCCCACGAAGCACCTACCGACTGCCCATGTACTCCCTGTGTCGCAGCAGGGCTTTGGCTGCCATGCTGGGAGCTGCGAACTGCACAAAAGCTTCTCCTGTTCTTCTCTCTCCCCGGTACACGAAAACGATCTCTGTTATTTTCAAACCTAGGGAAGCGTGGGGAGAAGAAGGTATTTCAGTTGTTGAGAACTTGTGCTATAGATCACAGACCTCTTTTCCCTTGCTTTTGTGGATTTTGAGAGGCTAATCAGGCAGATGGGTAGTTCTGATGTAACTGCTCATGCTGGCCTATATACCTTTTTAAACTCCTATTTATTTAATTTTTTAACAGAAGGCTTAATTGCCAATAACAAATCAATCTGAGGCTTCAAGTAACTACAAAAGTAAGTTCATCCAAGTTCTAGGCAACCAGGAGGTCCAGAATACAAATGTTCCTGAAATTTTCTTATTTTTGCACTAGGTTTTTCCTGTCTTTGTGCAGTACTTGTACTGTAACTACCTGCCAGGTGGTTTTGCCTCTCAACTTAGCCCAGTACTGCACTGGTAGCAATGCAATTGCAGATCATACGATCTAGGTTCCTCTCTTTCCTTCCCCTGGCCTCCAAGAAGCGCTTTAAGTACTGATCCTAGGTTAGAACTGCAGAAGGACAAAGATGCAAGGAAACCCTGCAGCTGAAAGCTTGCCCAGAAAGCTTCATATGCTTCCAGCTGCAAGGGGACAGCAACTCCTTGCACTGTTGAATGTGTTCAAGGCAGCATGTGCTTCTGCTTTTCTCTCAGAGGAACCACAGCCTACCTAAATGTCAATCTGGAGAAGAAAACTCCTCGTAACAGAAGAGCACAGACTAGGCTGAGTTACCTGAGAAAAAATCTGCTATATCCTCCTCTGTAGAGCTGAACGGAAGGCCTCGGAGTAGCACCACTCCATCATTCATGGCCTGTGACTCATCCCGCAGACTCCGCAGCAAGCCCTCCACATCGCTGTCGTGTACTTCAAAAACTGCAAGGAACATGGCACACAACATGTTTTCCCTCACAGGATGCAGAAGACAGCACTCTGCAGGCACTCTTCTAAGGCAGCTTTTTCCAAAAAAAAACTTCACCACGTTCCCTCCCCCAGCCAATACTCTGTGGTGGGCAATGGTGCCCCTCACTGCACAAGCCACTTAGCTTTTTCTGTCCTGCGTAGGAAGTTCTGTCTGAATTTGCTGCTGTTTCACATCATCTGCCCACCCCTCACACCAGCCCACTTTATTATTCAAGCAGTTCTCATTCACTTGGTCTGGAGTTTACTTCCAAGGTCAGCTTCTGCAGAGTCAAACCCACCTTTCACGTAGCGTGGGCCCATGTACCTCAGGTTCTTTTCCAAGGCTCTCTGGACATCCTCTTTGGACTCGAGCTCGATCAGGGCATCCCCCCTGCGCCTCCCATCCCTGTTTAAGAGGAAGTGTATGCCGTTCTCACCATTTCGAATTCTACAGCCTAGAAATCAAGGAACACAGGAACATAGGCAACTGCTGCAAATAAACAGGGTCTGTTGACTGCAGGTTATAACTGAACACATGTCAGTAGGGAAGAGATCAGCCCCACTAAGGTAGGCATGAGCCTCCTGGGACCAGAAAGCAGCGCTGGGGTTTAAATGAGTAAGTAAAAGCCACTTGAGTTGACTTAGAAAAGAGGAGTTGGGGATATATACAATTGTAATGGTTTTTAAAGGAAATACTTAGAATTGGAATGCCTTTACTGAGGAGATGCTGAGAAAAAAAGGGGGAGACTTGCTCAATTATCTATAAAACGGCATCAGGATTAGTTTCTCAATGTTGTCCCCTTGATTATTGGTTATAATCAATAACATTATTTGTTTTGTATGTGTAAATAGTGAAATAGCTTTGCAGAAATATTAAACTCATCTTTCTTTGGCTAACAGTCTTTAAATTTTGTTGACTGATCATTAAATACTGCATTCAATAGCACAACACTGAACAGTTACACAGGAAAATAACTCCCTTACTATCAAAAAACGTAAGCACATCCTCCTCGGTGCAGGAGAAGGGGAATCCTTGTGCCCTGATGAGAAAGACATTGTCACTGTCTGCCTTGGCCGACTCATGTTCCTGTTCTGAGAGGCGGCTTTCCTGGGATGGCACATCGGTGACCTGTCACAAAAAAAACCCCAAACCAACAACAAAACCCCAAATGAGCGAGCGGAAGGGCGCAGCGTTCCGACTGGGGGGTAGGTGCGGGGTGATGAGGCCTGGCGCGGGGCGGCAAAGGGCAGCGAGGGGCAAGGGAGAGGCGCTGGGCACATGGCGCGGGCAGCGGCCGGGGGCTGCGGGAC